TTCACCTCCTTCTCATAGGAGCAATCCGAATGATACGTGAGCCATCCGGAGGCAGCGCGAGAGAGCCTCTCTTAGGCTGTCTCACCTCGAATTAATGTATTCGGATCGTATTCAAACCGAATCCAAATACGACAGCGTGCAAGATAATAGATTGATAGTCACCTTAACGCAATACATATGAATCCACGAAAACAAATCGTATAGTAGATGAATGCATGACTATTGATCCCAAGACCCACGTTCTAACTCGCCAAAAGCTATTCTGTCATCTGCGCCGATATCGCTCCCTCTTCCATTGAGGGTGACGCCATCTCTTTCCTCACTACTGGAATCAGCAGGAACGCCGCTAGCAGCAGCATACCTGAGACCATCAGACACCTTATCGAAGCACCCTCGTCCGATCCCAGCCACCAGCATTTTGCGCTACTAGAATTATGATCAAATAAAGAATACCCGAGAAAAGCATGGAACCTCCAACATGAATCAACTGGTATCCAAAGATATTGTCTAAGTCGAAAGATAGAAGCACAACATTTCTTGCTTCGCGAAATCCCAGCATCGAATCCCACTGGTGGCATTCATCCCACCTGTGAAGGCAACAAATAACCACGCCCAACTGGAGCCCGTTGCGAGGAGGGGAATAGTCAGTTGCGTTATCGCGGCTCCTATAGATGCCACTCCATCCACTAAACCGCTCACAGAAGCGGTCACATTTGAGTCGATACCGGTCTGGCTGCCCAGATCGGCACATACTGCAGCGGATATCAAATTGGCGGGACCTCCAACCTGACAAGTAAAGGGAACCTCATACCGCCCTGGAGTCCAAACAAGTTCCCTTGGCATGCAACAGATAAGACATGAGGCAGATCCACACTGTGGAGGTCCATGTCTTGAAATAAATGCAAAAGGTGGTGGGCATAGAACGACAATGGTTGAAACAGTTCCAATAGAACTTCTAGCTTGGAAGTTTGTCGCTGGTAGTCGCCAGTTACGATGGTGTTGCGCAGAGGCACAGATAGGCCTTATCGCAATCAGTCTCCTCGAATGTCGTCTACTATTGTATACACAATTTCTCTATCGGCCTTTTCCATTGCAGAGACGGGCTGCATGAAACCCTCTAGTTTATTCGCTGCTGTATCGAGGGATCATCACCAGAATTCCCTATGTAACAGATAACAACTCTCATAGAAGTTTCCCTGCATTCTAGTTTGAATTCGGTGTCTTGCTTTCCAACTACATCCATCACTCACAGATTGCATCAAGTAGCATCTCGTGCAAAGACACTCAACCGAGGATCGAAGACTCACGGATTAACCGAGCTAAAACCGCTACCACTGTGGTGATACCACAAGCTTCCTTACCAGCAACCCCGCTATGAAGATAATAACAGTGATGGGTACGACGGAGCTGTGCTTCAAGCTCAGCGCTAGAATTGGTATCACCGCCAGAAGAAGAAATGAGGTAATCACCTACAAACCAGCAATATGATCAGAACAACATACAAGTTCTCGGATGGTTTTATTCCGTCACGCGCCACGAAATTATACCAAAATCACTACTGCACAAATTTCTCTGAAGACGGTTCCTCAAAAATGAATTCAAATCGATCATACAATCGATTTCTTCCCCTTAGCCATCTTGTCAACAATGGAGCCCGCAATAACCCCGCCTAAGCACTGCCCTATATCGTAAAATACAGATAGACCGTCAGCCAATCCCGGATCGAGCTCACAAACCTAATCACAGAACCACTCTGAGGCGAGCGCTTTTGCTTCGAGCACAGCAGGATTTGACAAATAATGGGCCCACCTCGCTGAGATAGAAGGGAAGCCAGAAAAACATTGCATAGTTGACGCCCTTCGTACAAGCGTAGACGAGAGAATATCGGGCGACGAATGGTAACCAGAAGGCGTGCCAGATTTCCCCCAGACCCCTCAACAAAGCTTCCAAGGTCGGTAATGATACACCAGTCACGGGCATAGTCATAACCTAACCTCAGTACAACATATCTAGTATAGTGGGGGAGCTACATACTGACTAACGGAAGGTCCACGGTTCAATTCCCACACGGACGATCCACATGAGCACATCCACGTTCATCAATTTTTTAGGTCAAAATAAGACTTCCTTACTGTATATCATTGGAATTTCACCCGTGATATGAAAAACACCGGTGAAAAATATATTTCACGACTACTGCATACCTATCGGGTTTTTCACAGAGTATTACACCACTTCACGTAAAACGGGTGGAACTCCAATGCTCTCATAGCAGATGTATGCACAGAGAGTCTATTAAAAAATAGACAACTACATCATCATCGGAATATTCCTTTTGCACCTCAAAGCTCAGAAGTATAGCATTAACAACATGAGCCAGGTTATACAGGAACAACAACCAGTCGAACGTTATACCAAGGTGAACTCCTCATGACTTCATAAGCCTCTCGCCAGTATCTACCATTCTTTCGTTGAATCCTGCAGCTGATGGGAAGTCCTTCAACTTGCTCGAGCGATAGGCAAAAAGCAACAATAATACGGACGGTCCCACGAAAACGAGGAGAACCTACACATAGGAACGGTGCGGACGAGATTTCAAAAATTTAAATCCCATAAACTGGCCAGACTACCGTTCAGTGACTTCATCATTGACATTAGTCATATTGTCCTTTAGTAAAAGTAACCAAATGCTTATGATAACAGCGCTTGCTGATTCACGCAATGTCGTCTCCCGACACAAAAAAATCTATCCATACCGTAAATACTCAATATAAAACTCTAATAACTCATACCCATGCCAAGACCATGATGATCAAAGTTATCAGAATTACTGTGAAATCTCTCATAATTCAATCTTCTCGGCCACATTAATTCCCTACACTCCCCCCGCCTACCTCTATTCCCTTCATAAATGAATACGCTCCTGCAATGCCCAGCGCGACCGCAGCCATCAGAGCGCCCACGATGTTACCAACACTCGCATTACTCGACCACAAACCGAATAACATGCCAGAATGTGCTGGACTGACGATGCCTATCTGGCCGTCAGCAATACTGGTCGGATCAGAATCCTCAGAAGTAGTGCTAGCACTGTCATAATCATCATCATCATCATCGATGAGATGGTGCACGGGCGTAAGCCAATTTCCCACCAGCTTAACACAGGCTGGCCAACATAATGACTGAACCTGAGAAATCGACAAAATAGCGCGCGCATTTTTAACATTTTCATATCAAGTTGGCACGTACTGTATGAGGAACTGTATGATTATGTGACTTAATA